CTCACTTGGTAGTCCAGGCTGGCCTCGAACTCACAGAGATCCACCTGGCTCTGCCTCCCGAGTGCTGGGATTAAAGGCGTGCGCCACCACCGCCCGGCCACCAGCCCCCATCTTTACATAACTCTTTATTAACTCTGGAAATTCCACATCATGCACCCCAATCCTGCTTATCTCCCAGCCCCTCCATATCTGCCCCACACCCCTGCAGCATGCCCCCCAAAATTAATTAAAAACAAAACAAACAACCCACCTCGCTCCTCCATCCTTCCTACACCTCTTCATTCATCCTAGTGGCGTCGGGAGCTGTGGTGTGCCGCCCACATGCCGTCCACCCTTTTGTCCTACCAGCCCCACCCACAAAAACGTTCACTGCAATGAGCCATTGGTCTGGCTCAAGGCCTCTGGCACATCATCATCACTGGGCCCTCACTGAAACCCCCTCAGACGTCCCACTGTTGTCCCAAGTCATGGAGATCCTGTGGAATGTCCCTTCACACTCCAGCAGGTCACAGATGGGGCAGATATTAGGGAGAGGGGGGCAACCCAAGGCCCAGGATGTGGGTCTGGGTGGTAGCTGAGATGGTTGATCGGGGCCACTGGGACTGTCCTCCTCAGGTGAGGGACAGAGCCAGCTCTCCTAGGTCCATGCCATCAGGGCCATCTGTGGTGAGGAATGGGGCCATCTCTCTTGAGTCCGGGTTCAGCTCTCCCATTGGGGGGGGGCAGCTCTCCTGGTGCAGTGTTCATCGAGCAGGAGGCCAGCTATCCTGGGGCCAGTGAGGGGCAGGGCTTGCTCAGCACGACCCTCAGATTTCAACACGAATGACTCCTGTGACCCCCGGTGGTGACATGAGCCATGGACATCAGGCCAGATCCTGGCTGCTGTTGAGGAATGGATCCAGACATGGCCATGGCGGTAGCCCAGGCCCAGATGACACCATGGCCCTGTAGCTAGTTTTCCTGGTTCTGCCTGGCCTACGGTCAGGACAAATCTCTCACCCGCCAGTCCCGCAGCTGCTCAGATCCAACTGAGTAAACACATAGAGACTTGTGCTTATTGCTTACAAGCAGTATGGCCTTGGCAGGCTTCTTGTTATCTAACTCTCCTATCTTAAATTAACCCATTTCTATTAGTCTATACTTTGTCATGTGGCTCGTGGCTTCCCGGTAATTTACATCTCACTTGTCATGGCGGCAGCTGGCAGTGTCTCTCTGCCTCAGCCTTCCACTTCCCAGAATTCTCCTCTCTCCTTGTCCCTCCTATACTTCCTGCCTGGCTACTGGCCAATCAGTGTTTGATTTATTAACCAATCAGAGCAACACGTATAACATACAGACCATCTCACAGCATGGCCCCTTGTGGCTGTGCAAGCCACCCAGATCAGCATGGCCCTCAGACACCAGCATGGTCACAGGTTGCAGCCTGGAACCCTGGGATCTGTGTGGCCTTTGGTGGTACACGGGCCATGGACATCAACACAGACCCCAGCTGTGGTAGGACCACGGACCCAGACATGGCCCTCAGTATCAGCCTGGGTTTGGATGTCACCATGGCCCCAGGTAGCAGTGCAGGCCACTCAGATTGGCATGGTCCCTGTGGCAGCGGGGCCCTTGGACAACAACATGGCCCCAAGTGGTGGCCCAGATCCCTGGCATCAGAACTGCCTTCAACAGTACCAGGAGCCATGGACATCAACACAGACCCTGGCTGCAGTAAGGCCACGGACCCAGAAGTGGCCTTCAGCAGCATCCCTGGCCCAAATAACACTATGGTGGCAGTAAGGGCCACTCAGATTGGCGCGGCCCTGGTGGCAACATGACCCTCAGGTGCAACATGGCCATAGGTTGCTGTCTATACCCCAGGCATTGCGTGGCTTTTGGTGGCACCATGGACTCCCAATCACCTCTTAACACTATCACAGTGGCAATGAACTTTGAACCTGGGTCTTAGAGGGAAAGAAGCATTGAGTGTGGTAACCATGGTAACGAATGAAACTGCACGAAAGCCAGAGTGCTGCCCTCCATCGAGGCAGGTCCAGCTCCTGCCAGCTCATAACAGCAGGTGCTGGAGCCTGAGTGCTGCTGTTCTGTGTTCTATTTTGCAGTTCTGAGGGCCCATCCCAGAACCTCATGCAAGTTAGGCAAGCCTTCTGCCCTGACAGCTGCTGACAGCCCTGTAACCATCCCCCCATCTGGGTGTAGCCACTCATCACTCTCCCATCCTCACCCCTGGAGACAGACCACGTCTGTTTTCTTGAGAACGTCACATACTGGTAATGACTGTGTAACCTACCAGACCATGGTACCTGTCACTCTATACAGGGCCTCTGTCAACGACCCAAGTGGCCATGGGAGCTGTCTGACGGTGCTAGGACCTGAGCTCGGTGCTCTCAGCAGAGCCGTCTCCCAGCCCTGCCCCTTTTGTTCTGAGCTGCATTTCCCTCCTGTTTAGTGGTGTGTGAGCTTTCCTCACACGCCAGTGGCCACCTGTAATCTTAGCGACATGTCCTGTTCTGAATTAGTTAGTTGTCTTATTATTATATTGCAAGCATTCTTTAGCTGAGTGAGGAGTGGTGGCAGATGTCTTTAATCCTAGCACTCACTTGGGTTGAGGCAGGATTGTGAGTTCCAGGCTAGTCTGGGTGACACAGTAAGACTCTGTCCCAGCAAACCAACAAATAAAAAAAAAAAATAAAATAAAACTTGCATATAGTCTGAGTATTAGAACTCAGGTGATTTTGACCCATTCTGTAAGCTGGTTACTTTTTTGTGGTTTCTTTGAAGTCCTGGTTTTTACTTTTGATGAGCACAGTTTACTGTATTCTCTTGTGCTGCTTTTGTTTCTGATATCGCAGCTAAAAACCCTTATGCCTATGATTCTTGATTCTCTCTCTCTCTCCCTCTCTCCCTCTCTCCCTCTCTCCCTCTCTCCCTCTCTCCCTCCCCCTCCCCCTCCCTCTCT